ATATATAATTTTATATATAAAATTATATATATAATTTTAAAGTTATAAAAAAGCTTGTCCGTCTGTTCGCCTGTGAGATAAGAACTGGGGACACTGAAAGCACAACCAGATAACTGCTGGACTCCACTTCCATGTGGAGAAGGCCTTTGTATCCTCACACCCTGCTTTTCTGGAAGCTCAGTCTGAATTAAATTCTTGAGCTAGAACAGAAATTAAGTGTAATGTGAGAGCAGAGCTGGCAGCTTGGGAAGCATTTGGAGTGAGTAGTGGTCTTCGTAAATGGTGGAGTAGAAATGGGCTGAAGGTTTCCATCTCTCTTTCTTTGCCAGTATCATGAGGGCACAATCAAGAATGTGCGAGAAGCTACAGAGAGCTTTGCCTCTGATCCCATCACCTACAGACCTGTGGCTATTGCACTGGATACCAAGGGACCTGAAATCCGAACTGGACTCATTAAGGGAGTAAGTTGCTCTTTTTTTTTTTTTTTCTTCTTCTGTTTTTTTCAGTGTGTGAGACTTAAATTTATCATGTTATGCTTATGGCCTTTCCCAAACAAAAAAATGTCTGTAGGAAACGAGGTAATGAATAAACTACCAAAAGTTTGGTGAATTAGTGCAGACTGGGAGGTGGCTGTGTGCTGGTTTTTCCTGGTTTTGCTGAAACGCATGTTTTGACACGCAGAGCGGCACGGCAGAAGTGGAGCTCAAGAAAGGTGCGACTCTCAAAGTGACCCTGGATGATGCTTTCATGGAGAACTGCGATGACAATGTGCTGTGGGTGGACTACAAGAATCTCACCAAGGTTGTAGAACTTGGCAGCAAAATCTATGTGGATGATGGTTTGATTTCCTTGCTGGTTAAGGAGAAAGGTGGGTAATGACCATTCCAGCTATGCCTGTTTGTTTTTTCCTCAGGATGTATTTGTGCTTTCCCTCCACTAGCTGTTTTTTAGCTTGCAGTTCTGTATTAAAGAAAGGAGTATGTTGTCCTTAGTGCTGTAGTCAGACTTGGAGCAAAAATTTCTCTACTTCAAGTGTAGCAAGAATCTGAAAACTAACTTCAGCTAAGTTTTTCTAGGTTGTCACCTGAAACACCTCTTCAAAGGTGAATCTTTAGCTGTGTTTCCCTAGACTATCACCTAAAACCTGTCTTCAAAGGTGGATGTGTGGTAGGGATGTACCAGTGCTCATGATCAAAGCATGTTTAGGCTTTAGCCAGGCTAATTTGGGCTTTTAATGCAGGATTTAACTGGTTTTATGGCATAGACACTGAGTTTTGTGGCTAGAACTAGCTTCAAGTGGTAAATAGGGGCAAGGTTAGCTCCACAATACTCCCTTTATATTTCTGCCCAAAATCCTCTAGCCTCAGGGTATCGCCTCTAATCCCAGAGTGTGTAGGGAGACAGAGGTGAGGTTTTTGGGGTGCTAAGTTTCGTATTCCAGGGCTCCTGTGTGTAGAAAGGCAATCTGGTGGCTTTTTTAGGGAGGCAATCCAACCTCCTGCCCAAGAACAGCATAGAAGTGTTTTTAAACCGATCTGTTGTGCTCCCACGGGTAAGTTAAACTTGTGCGTTACATAAATCTGCTGAAGAGAGTGGCGATGCGCTTTTATCACATGCGGTGGCTGGTGGCACTACTGTTCTCAGGCAGGGAGGTGGTGTGGGAGCTGGCAGTGCGGAGCTTTCCGGTAAACACTGACCGTGGGAACACATCCCTTTCAGGTGCAGACTATGTCATGACGGAGATTGAGAATGGTGGGATGCTTGGCAGCAAGAAGGGAGTGAACCTGCCTGGAGCCGCAGTCGACCTGCCTGCAGTCTCTGAAAAAGACATTCAGGACCTAAAATTTGGCGTGGAGCAGAACGTGGATATGGTATTTGCTTCCTTCATCCGCAAAGCTGCCGATGTCCATGCTGTCAGGAAGGTGTTAGGGGAAAAGGGAAAGAACATCAAGATCATCAGCAAGATTGAGAACCACGAGGGTGTGCGCAGGTGAGCTTTGTGCAGGTGACACTTCAGGTTTGTCACCTTGTATCAAGGAAAGAACACAGCCCCTTTGTGCTGTAGTCTGGACTCTCAGTCTCTGGTTTGCCAGCAGCAACAAATTTACTAGTCTGAGTATCAGGGTAGTAGTGCAAGCTGTCCCTTAGTGCTGTGTATGTGGAAATGGGTGTAGCTGCAGTATGAGCAGTGGGTTGTGTAATTGTCACGTGCCCTGAGGTCCTGGGGACAGAGTCACAGTCTCCCTGCATCCCTGAAAAAAGTCTGCCGTTGTCTTTGTAGCAAGCGTGAGTTCAGAGTTACCAAACTTCCTGTTCTGGATGCAAATTAGCGAGCTAATGCATGGTAATCACCAAATCTGTGACAAACTATCAGACTAAAATATCTCAGATCAACTCGCGCTCCTCTCATCTGTCTCTGTGTAACTTCAGAAGGCTTTATGTGGCGCTTTATTCGTGCTACGACTTGGTCTTGTTTTCCTTCCTCCTCCCTTGGCGTTGCAGGATACCAAAATGGGATGTGGAAAGGCCGTGCGCCAACAGTGTCGCTGCGTATCTCACTCCAGGATGGAACAAACGGGAAAGTGCTTTGCAGAACAAATGAGTTTAACAAACCTCTTCTCTTGCTCTCAGGTTTGATGAGATAATGGAGGCCAGCGATGGCATTATGGTGGCCCGTGGTGACCTGGGAATTGAGATCCCTGCTGAAAAGGTCTTCCTCGCCCAGAAGATGATGATTGGGCGCTGCAACAGGGCTGGCAAACCCATCATCTGTGCCACTCAGGTACTGGAAGTGCATCACTAGCTCATAACTACCGGAGTCTGGCAGGGGGTGAACTTCAGTAGCTGTCGTGGCTTGATGGTGTTCACTAGAGATGCCAAGAGCACAGAGGTTTTGCTCAGCTGAAAAGCTCATCTCGAGGCACTTTTAAAGATGTGTTTGGGATATTCTCCATTAAGGTTACAGGACCTCTTGTGTGGCTGCTGAAGGCTTTACCCCACAAAATTTCACGGAGTATGAGCCTTTTGAGCTGACTAAATAAATTCTGGGAAAAAACTGCTTATGCTTTGCCTTGGCATCTTGTAGCAGCATGTCTGGGTCTGATGGAGAAGACTTGCTCAGGTACCTGGGTGTTGTACAAGATGTGCCCACACTGCAGCATCAGAAGGAACTGAGGATCCATCTCTCTATTATTCTGGGAGCTGCTAGTGAGGGAGGGAGAGCTGATGCTAAGCTTCACTGGTTCCAGTAGGGATCATGTGCAGACATTCCTCAGACACTGGGAGGACTGGTTTCCTGGCTGTGGAAGCGAAAACTGGCTCTAGGCAGTAGTTATCAGACAATGTTCTGGCTTTGCAGCAGCATGTGCTCTTTCCTTTTCCATATTGCAATTGAAATGCTACCTCAGGTGGTGTTTCCTGAGGAAACAGGTGATGTTTTCCCCGTGGTGAGCTACAGCGGGGGCAAAGCTGAGCACCTGAGAAGGACAGGAGAGCTGGCCAGGCTTTGATGTGTGGAGTTATGCTAGTTTCTGGGAAAAGGGAGGAGGAAGAGCTAGCCTCATGGAAAGCTGTCCCGTTCTCCACTCTTTTCAGAGTGGGCAATTAGGAGGCTGGTGTTATTAGCCGAGTTGATTAGCCTGTCATAGTATATAAAGAATTTGAACTCTTGTATTGGATGAAGATGACTTCAGTTGGTGCAGACCCTACTGTTTACCTATTTCTAGATTAAAAACCTGAACTCCTAAATGCTAGAGGTAATTTGGGAACATGTGGCTGGATTTGAGCTTTCCAGAAAGATGTTTGACACAATACTCTGCTCCAAAGAGCTCTGAGTTCCTTGGACCAAGCCCTGTGCTGAAAAGTTCAATTGGGAGTTGGAGTTTTGTGTCTGACACTGAGAGGGTTAAATCTCTCTGGAAAATGGGTAAATGTAGAACAGGTACAAAATGAAATGTATTGTTTTTCTTGCTGGTAGATTATTTAATTTAAAGCTGGTTAGGGACCAGGCCTCTCTCTGTCCTATAACCCCAGGAGGACTCTTCTTAGGAGTCCTTCTGCGGTGTCTTAGTTTGGTTCCTTCCGCAGTCTCTTGATTTGATTCCTTGTGGTGGTTTCACTGGACTAGCAGTGGGCTAGTAGCCAAACACAGCTGCTTGCTCACTCCCCCCGCAGGGGACAGGAGAGAGAATTGGGAGGCAAGGGTAAGGAGACTCCTAGGGTGGGATAAGAACAATTTAATCATTAAAATAAAAGAAAACGTTAAATAATACTGATATTAAAATAGTAGTGATGATAATAGTAGTAAAATATGCAAATGAGTGACACCCAGGGCCATTGCTCACCACCCGCCGGCCAAGCCCGGCCCATTCCCAGTTAACGATCCCAGAGGAGTGACAATCCCAAACGGAAACCGCAATCCCGGGAGAGTGAGAGCCCGAGCGAAAGCCAGAGAGAGCCAGAGAGGAAGAGACCCTCATGAATATCCTGCCCATGGGGGACAGGAGATGGAACAGCCCGTTGGCAGAGCCAAATACCAACTGAGCTGATTCATTTCAATATTCCTCACCCCCTTAGATCTTGCGCTTGCAGACTGACAAAGCACAAAGTCCTTCACTCCCAGTGACACAGCTGCAAACATGGGGGTGTTCTCAGTGTTTCTCTCCTAACAAATCCCAGCTGAACCCAAACCCCAGCGCTGTTCTAGCTGCTGAAAAGAAACCAGCTCTGGCCCAGCTACAAACCAGGACATTCTTCTGCAATCTCTTGATTTCTTTGGGTTTATTCTTTTCCAGATGCTGGAAAGCATGATCAAGAAGCCTCGCCCGACCCGCGCCGAGGGCAGCGATGTTGCTAATGCTGTCCTGGATGGAGCGGACTGCATCATGCTTTCGGGAGAGACAGCCAAGGGAGACTACCCGCTGGAGGCTGTGCGCATGCAGCACGCCGTGAGTACTGCCTTCCGTTTGGTGGGGACCTGTCCAGTGGAGGAAGTTAGCTCTGCTCTCTTCCTCTGCATCTTATATCTGAGCCAGGCACCTGAAAATGTGTCTGGTGCTAGGTGGCAGCACCTGGCAGTCCAAACTAGCGATTTATTTGTTCGTGCTCCCACTGTGGGTTGTTTTTTTTTAACCTAGTGTGGTCCTGAGAGCCTCAAACCTCATTTTGTGTGCTCCAAACTATTGCCAGGCAGAGCTGAGAACTGCTCTTCAATGCTCTGAAATAAAAAGCTTTAGGTTTCTCATCCTAATTCTTGTTTTGGCCAAGGTAAAGGGCTTTTTGCTGTTACCTTGTTATGAGTTTCTTCAAATGCCCTATTTGTTTTGGCATATGAAATGCCTTAAACTTCTCCAAGGTCAAGGAACTGCTTAAGCAGTTTATCTCTAGATAACCAACGATATTGGCTGCCTCCTCAGTGGGGGGGGTGGGGGAGGCTCACGGGTGTCTGATTTACAGCACTGTTGCGTTCAGCACCTGGTGCGCTTGGTGTTTTGGGGGGGAGGTTCGTTGCATGACTACTGACAGCACCATATTTTTACATGCCTGAACTGCCAGAAACTTCTGCTCTGCTTCAAGTTCACCCAGCTCACCTTTCAGCTAATAAAAAGCCTGATGTCGAGTATCTACAAGTGGTGGTTCTCCCTGGTTACCAGTGCTGTGAATCACAGCAGTGGTAACTTACCAGTTGTAACTCTCACCAGTTTGATTTGCAATTCAGGTTATGTAGATTAATCAACTCAGCTAGTGTTTGTTTGCAGTGCATTATGTAAAAATCTTTTACCTTTCTCTTCTTGTGGAGTGGTGCCGTTTTTTTGCACGTAGTAAATGCAAAATATGACTTGATGATTACTGTGCAGTGACTGCTGGTTTACAGGCTAACGGTGCACCTAAAAAGTTCTTCCTTAGTTTTTTCATCCCCTATATCATGAGGATTGACTTGCTACCAAGAGTTGGAAACTTGCTGCAGGAAACCTTACACCTGGGTTTCCATTCTGGCATTAATTGTTGTATTTTACCCATAACCTGAGCTCAGGATCCATTGCATATGCTTCCGTCTTCCTGCACACCTGGGAACAGTGGTGTTCACTCTTGCCAGCTCCCTGCAGAAATATGGAAGAAAAAAAAATACGAATTTATTTAATGTAATGTGGCACAGGCAGCAAGGTGCCAACTCTGTGACTGTAGGAACATTTCCCCCTCCAGTCGGGATCTTTCACCTGAGCTAATTCACTTACTCTTAGTCAAGAGAAACCCTGAATAACCATGGTCTAAAAATCTACAGCGTGGCCAGAGCAGATGAGTATTTCCAACTGAAGTGGCCGAGTGGTCATAGCAGGGAGAGAGCCACTTACCTCTGGTAAGAGTGGCTCCTCTACACGTCTTCCGCCCTGAAATCAGTATAATTTTGGGTTTATGTATTTGTTTATCCAGCCCTGCTACTCCAGGAAAACCTCCTTCTGTAGTGAGGTGCAGACAGCAAACACGGGTTGTGATGCTGAGAAGGATCTACGCTGTGTAGTGTCCTTGCACTGCTCTAAGAGACCTGACCTGTCTGTCCCCAGCCTGTCCCAGTTGCTTTGCTGGGACTCTGTAGTGGTTTTGCTTTCTACCTAGCCTTGTAGAAACGAGCTTGCTCTCAAGTAGCTGACATCTCTGTGACAAAAATGCCGTGTGCCTCCAGTTTTAGTAGCAAGCTTCCAAATTATGAGCCGTTTCCCACTTGTGGGAGTGAGCTTCCTTCCAATTTCAGTCCAGGATCCACAGTTATCCTCAAATGCAACCCTGGCCACGCTGTCTAACAGGACCAAGGTTTAAATAGCTGCTCCATTTTCCTTTCTCCCACCTCTTCCCTGGTATCTCTGCCTGCATACCAACTGGAAACCCATTTCTGTGTGAGCAAAATCAGCTGTGATGTGGAATTACAAATTGCTGTGCCCTTCTGCAGTCACTCTCAAAGCAGGCACATGGCTACACGTATTCTCTGGAGCTCAGGAGTGCAGGCTTCCCTCTAAACTCGGGTTCACTCTGTGTCCAACAAAGAGCTGCCTGCCTTTGAACCAAGAGCTGAAGATAAACTGCCCACTCTTGTGTTTAAGCAAGTGTTTTGAGGCAAGTACTTCCATTTTAGCTAACGGTGAGCATAAAGCCAGCAGTAACAAAACTGAGTTGGCACTGGACTGCTGTTCCGGCCTGTCATATGTGCCCTGTTATTTTTAGACATAAGGTACTTAACTACTTTGGCTTAAACTGGTATCTGTGGAAGAGGGATAATTCCAAGCGTCCCATAAAATAATTCATTAACACTAGAGTAGCAAAATTCTCCTTTGGAAGGGGTCTAACTACAGATCTTTCACTATTAAGGGCACTGAAGTCTCTGCTTAAACATCAACTCGTCATGCTTTGTGTAGCGGCTGCTCATTTTCTGGAGTAACTGAGTGAAGTTGTCCTTGAAAAGATGCTCAACCTTTGCATGCTTTTCTAGGCTCTACAAGCCTTCTTTGTCAGGTTGTCAAGGGCTAACACAGCCTTCCCAGGGGAGAATTGTCTTTAAATGTGAGTGGTTCCCTGCGTACTGGGACAAATCAGTTACTGAACTTGAGGCAGATGTGTAGTCTGAACTCTAAGCCCTTAGTTGTGCCTCTGCACCTCTCATCTCTCTAAGTCTGGCACTAAAACACCTCAACGTATGTGACAACCTGGTAAGGAAGACTTGCCCCTATTTATTTCTGTTACTGAAAGGGAAGTTGGAGGTGAAACTTTGGCTCTCAAGTTAAACTAAATCTCTATTGGCTCCTAAGCTAAACTAAATCTAATGAAGCTGAGAGAGACAGTCTCCCAACTTCAGAGATGACGTTGAAAGTGCGTTGCTTGCGTGTTGGCTCCGTGAAGACTCTTCTAGTGGTGCTGTGTGATGTCGGGAGAGTAAGAAGGGGGAAGGTGAAGCTACAGGCATCGCCTTGTGAGGAATTGGAGGCAGGTAGATGGCGTGAGAGAGTCTCTCAAGGAAATAATCAGCAGCAAGAACAAAGTGCAGCCTGACTGAGCCAGCTTGCTGCGGTCCTTGAAAAGCACTCTATGTTTGGCTGCTCTGAAAGGACTCCAAAACATAGCAAGAATGCTGTCTTCAAAATGCCTGCCCGCTGACCAGGCCCACCAGTTAAACTGTGGTGGACCAACCGAGTTGCATTCAACAAATTCACAACCTGAGAGCCAAAGAGTTTCACAGCCTGCCCTTTCTGATCCTCTTGCATGCATTACTATGACAATTAAGCGAATAACGTGATCTCATGTTACTCTGCTATATCTTTCCTTCTTTCCTCTTTTTCTTCTCCTTCCCATTTTACTCGGGCCTGCAGATCGCTCGTGAGGCTGAGGCCGCAATGTTTCATCGGCAGCTGTTTGAAGAAATTTTCCGCCTCAATGTTAACAACAGGGACCCTGCTGATGCCATGGCACTAGGCGCAGTGGAGGCCTCTTTTAAGTGCTTAGCTCCAGCCTTGATAGTTCTGACCGAGTCTGGCAGGTAGGGCTCAGAGAGGGAATTGATGCCACTGGTTTCCAGCAGTAAAAACGCACTCTGTTTCTAGCACACTGCAAATATTTTTAGCAAGCAGCTCGCTGCTACGGTATCAGCCTTGCATAACCGTTGCGGTCTGAGTTGCTGACTTCTCTGTGGTAGGGAGGGACTGCAGATAGGCAGGAGCAGAGCGAGAGTGCCTGGCAGTTGGCATGAATGTCACCTGAGTGTGGGCTCAGCAGGGCGAGGTGACTCAGTAGGTGCCACCAGTTTGAAAAAGAAACCTTGAGAATAGAATGGTTTGGCTAGCTGAGCATTGGGGTCCTCACCTCAGCGCATTGATCTACATTTGGGCTGGTTAATTGGTCACTCTAAATTTCAAAGCTGACGATATTTATGTGACACCTTGCTGACAGATCACCTCGCCTTAACCCTGTGCTGCCTGGAGCGACTGACGTGTGTGTTGTCTTCCCGAACGCGTGTTGCTTTTATAGATTGCCCGGGAGGCCGAAGCCGCCATCTTTCACAGGCAGTTGTTTGAGGAGCTGCGGCGTCTGACTTCCCTGAACTGTGATCCCACAGAAGCCGCTGCTGTTGGCGCTGTGGAAGCGTCCTTCAAGTGCTGCAGCGGGGCCATTATTGTCCTCACCAAGTCTGGAAGGTAGGAGGTGACAGGTTCCCTCAGGTCAAGCCTGCTTTGTGACAGGGTTGGGGAAGGAGACTCGCACAAAGATGGCTTTGAAAGACTGGAGCTGTCACAGTGAAGCCCGGGTTTTGGCAGCGAGTGAGAGCCCAGGCCGCCTGCCTGCAGTGCCGGTTCCTGAGGAGATGGGCAGACATCTCAAACATCTGCACACACGTAACCTCCGAGTTCCTCAGCCTGCCTCCGCCAGCGTGGCATCACCACCCAGCCCTCGCTCTTCTGAGTGGTGTCTGCCAGCAGTGCTGGCTGGAAGAATCAAGGGAAAATAAACGTTTGTAGCATCGATTCAAACTGTTTGGCAAGAAATCCTCAATTTAACAGTGAGGCAGAAGTTAAATGGGTGCAGGATTTTTTAATTACTTTTTTTTTTAAATCGAGACCTTTCATAGTAGCATCATAGTAGCATCCACATTTTTGGTTCCTTGCTCGGCCTTTCAGCCCCACTTGCCTAAGGCTGAGAGGCAAAGAGAGGGACTGCTTAGCCTAGAATTGTTAGGCAGGGAAACGGAAAGTGTTAGAAATTTCCTCTTACAGCTGAGACCTGGAGCAGCTAGAACAAGTCCAGAGGAGGCCACCAGGATGATCCGAGGGCTGGAGCACCTCTCCTATGAAGACAGACTGAGAGAGTTGGGGCTGTTCAGCCTGGAGAAGAGAAGGCTCCAGGGAGATCTTACAGTGGCCTTCCAGTACCTGAAGGGGCTACAAGAAAGCTGGGGAGAGACTTCTCCTAAGGGCAGTTTAATGACAGAACAAGGGGAAATGGGTTTAAGCTGAAAGAGGGCAGGTTTAGATTAGATATTAGGAAGAAGTTCTTCACTGTGAGGGTGGTGAGACACTGGCCCAGGTTGCCCAGAGAAGCTGTGGCTGCTCCTCCCTGGAAGTGTTCAAGGCCAGGTTGGATGAGGCTTTGAGCAACCTGGTCTAGTGGAAGGTGTCCCTGCTGATGGCAGGGGGATTGGAACTAGATGATCTTTAAGGTCCCTTCCAAGCCAAACCATTCTGTGATTCCTGCCTGCCTGCGAGTAATCTCACTGAACAGGCAGACACCGTGCTGCCTGCGCTCTAAGGTGAGCTCACTCACTGCCTTGGCTGCTGGTGAGACACGAGCTGGAGTTATAGTTTGGGGTTTCTGTCCAGTGATTGTGAAAACTACCGAGCAGAGCCTTGCTCTTCCAGTTGTGGAGAGGAAGCATGTCTCACCATAAGTCTCAGACTGCTTTCTGGACGAAAATCTGAATTTCTTGCGCTGGATTTGGACCAAAGAAATAGTACGGCAGGTGATTATATGCCCTGGGCACAATTTACCTGAAGATCTGGACCATCGGTGAATCCTTCACCTACATTTACAGCTTGAAATGATTTGAAGAGTTGAGGAGGGACTCTGAGCACGGAGTTTCTGGATCGCCTCGTGCTTCTAAAGTTTCTTTGTAAAAGGTTCCAGTCTTACCCTTGACCTTTTTCAATGTGAACTCTGATATTTGAATATTTTTAGCTGTGGATTCTGTTACAACCTTGGAGGTACCTGGATCTCCTAGAGCTGCCGGGAAGCTTCTTGGACAACATGAGAAGGATTGTCTGAGAGCTGGCATGTGTGTTTGGGTGCTTCGAGCAGATTGTTACTCCCTCCTTTTAAGCAACAATCTTTGAGCATTGCTGAGCTTGGCTCCACTAAACAAAGCTGCAAAAGCTAGTGGAGATACTGGCACGCTCACAGAGCTGGAAATGTCGCAGCCTCACAGATTTAATCTCCATTTATTTGCAGATGTCCTCTGTAAGCGATGCCTGGGGAAGGGGAAGCCATCGTCCCCACCCCGTGTATGCTGCTTTGCTATGTTAAGGTGTTTAAAGGATTCCATGCCCAAATTCCCACTGTAAATTTTGGCCTCAGTCACATTTGCTTCCTGTTGGGCACAAGAGCGGAGCTCTGTGAGGTGGAACTGGCCTGTTCACTGGCTTTGGCGAGTGAACGGGGCCAGGAGGCAAATGGCTTCCCCCTTGGCGAGCTTTGGGTAGTGATGCTGGCACGGGTTCTTCCCATCCCATCGATCCAGGAGCTCCTCAAAACAGAAGGAGCTTGGAGGGAACCCCGTTGAGATGCCAAGGACTGCTTGCAGAGGTCGGCATAAATGGCACCTCGCCACCTTAACATAGCAACAGAGACAAAGAAAAGCTTGTTTTTGCCACCAAAACACACAGATGGCACTTCCTGAACTTGGAGGCGAGGTGATTCTCACCAGGAGACTGGTCGGCAAGGGCCAGCCTTTGGTGGTGGTCCACCCAGTTGCCTGACTGGGAATTCAGCAGAGTGTCAAGCTCGGTGGTGAGCTTGCTTGCCAGCATCTCCTGCTGTCATTTATGTCCCTCCTGGGGTTTTGTGGAGCCCTCTGGGGTGACGGGTGCATCTCGCTGCTGCTTTGGCTCTATGCAGGTGTCTCCTCATGGTGCTTCATCTCCTGTCTGGTTTCCTTCTAGATCAGCACACCTGGTGTCCCGGTACCGCCCGCGAGCTCCCATCATTGCTGTGACCCGCAATGACCAGACAGCGCGCCAGGCCCACCTCTACCGGGGTATCTTCCCTGTCCTCTGCAAAGACCCGCCCCATGATGCGTGGGCAGAGGATGTGGACCTCCGCGTGAACCTGGGCATGAATGTTGGTGAGTGACGTTGGAGAATGCTCTGGTGGGACCTCCTCAGATGGTGCTTTTAGGGTTTGGTGATAAAGGGAGAGGAACTGGCTGCTGGTTGTGGTAACGATATCCGATTGGGAAATGGGGAACAGTTGGGTAAGCACAACCGTCTCCAGTTGGGAAATGGGCTTGAAAAATAGGTTCCAGTAGAAAACCAGATTGCTTTTAGTGTGGTAAGTACTTGAACCGCGATGCTTCTTGCTCCTGAGGGACAGGAGAAGCCCGGAGCGGGGTCACTTTTTCGTCTTACTGAATTTCATGCTCCATGTTGCAGTGGAGTGGAAGGGGCTGAGATGGGTGGGCAGCACCTCGTGTCCTCCACTGTGGCTGTACTGCACCTTAGCGGCACGGGAAGCAGGTGACAAGTGTTAGCCTGAGCTCTGACACCTCCTTTTCTTCTCTCCTAGGCAAAGCGCGCGGATTCTTCAAGAGCGGTGACCTGGTCATCGTACTGACGGGCTGGCGCCCCGGTTCTGGTTACACCAACACCATGCGTGTGGTGCCCGTTCCCTGAATGACCGGCTCCACCCACCTTCTGAATCACTCCTGTCCCCTCCACTTCCCTGTGCCCTGCATTAGACCAGCCATCGCTTGCGATGTCCTTGTCCCTAGAGTTGGATGTAGGTTGCTAAGCACCACCCAGTGCAGCAGCAGAAGACCTTAAATCACTAAAAAAAAAAAAAGAAAAAGAAAAAATATACTTGAAAGTTTAGTTTTTTTTAAAACCTCTCCCTCTAGCCTATGTTGGAGTCAGGGTAGGATGTTCCTGCCTGCTCCTCGGCCTCCTTGCCTAGTGACCAGCCCCAGAGGGGGACATGGCCCTTTCCCTGCCCTTCTTTTGGAGTGATGGGGAAAGGGTTCCCCTGTCCCCCCACTCCCCACAGACCCAATCCAGCCCCCTCCAAGGTGGTGTTTTTTCAGGGGTGGGGGTAGAAGAAGGGTGTCCACCTCCTTGCCGAGAGCTTCCTGTGCTCCCTGTGTCCTGTGTGTGTCACTCGTGGTCGCCCCCACCTCCTCTTCCCTCCCTGCTGCCCCTGGGGCTGGCAGAGCACAACTGTCCATCAATAAAGCGAAGCTGAAGCACCCAGATGCCCCAGTCCTTGAGCTGGGGGGGTTGGGGTCCTTCCCGTGCCCGGGGGGACC